GTGTAACCTCGCCGAGTTAGTGTGAAATGGTCTTCAAAGCCAGAAGACGAGAAGAAGCCCCCAAGAGTGAGTGTGGAGTGAAGAGATGCACACGAGTGAAATGGGCAGGAGCCGGGAGGTGTCAGCAGAAGGGCCATCAACAAGCCGGGGAGGGAGCCAGAAGACGGGGCTGTGCGGGGTCACGGAGGCGAGGGCAAAACAAACCAGAGAGGAGCAGTTAGTTGCCTGCCCTGCTGGGTCTGTGGAAAGCACAAGCAAGGCACAGGCTGAGCCAGCAGGAGGCTGTGGGTGACTCGGCAAGCAAGGATAAAAGCCCGTTAAGGTCCAGTCTGAAATAGAGTGGCCAAAAAGGAGACTAGGGCAAGAAGTTTTGCTGAGAGTTCTGCCAAGAAAGGGAGAAGCTGGGTAGCCTCTAAGAGACATGGAATCAAGCTGATTTTGTTTCATTTTTTAAGTTGAGAGGAATAGCAGCATGAGATTAGGAAACGAAGTAGGTCGTAGCTGGTAAAGACATGCACTGTTTGCTCTGGGCCAGACCCAGGCTGAGCGCTGTGACACGGGTTTTAATTCACTCAGGGTGGTGGAGCAGGAGAGTGGCTGGGGTTGGGCACCTGCCTGGGCAGAGGGAGGGCACCACCAGGACAGAGCACTGCTGCCCTGGAAGGTGGGGTGTGGACCCACAGGAGGCACTGCAGGAGGGGAAGGGAGGGCTGAGAGAGCAGGAAGAGGAGGTGGGATGTGCTCATCTTGGGGTGGCTGGGAGCGAGGACAGCAGCGCATCAGTGTGGGCGCCCGGCAGCATCAGGGCCCCTAGGTAAGAGCATGAGGAAGCTGCTGTTCTGATCTGTCTTCCCACCTGACGCTAGACCAGCTGAAGGGAAAGCCGCTCGTTACAGGCTCTCACTTTGTCCCAGCCTCTGGCTCCCGATGACTCTTGTCACTGCCTCTACTCCTGGCGTTGTCCCAGGGCCAGACTTTCCTGGTGGCCCTCAGAAGATTAGGACTAAGTAGATGAGATAAATTAAAACGGGACCCAAGCAAGCAAGGCTGTTGGAGGGCCTGATGTGTGAGATGGCCTTTACCAGTTTTCAGGCTTCCTGAGCTCACTGGGCTGTGGTGAATGTTTCCTTGCCTAGGAACTGACCTCGGCCCTGGTTCCAGTCTGTAGCTTTATAATTTACGTGTGACTTTTCTTGTAGCACTTCAGAAAGTGGTCTGGTATTCCTTAAAATCTCCTTTAGTCCAGGATGTTAGCAGAAAATGGTCAGAGGACCATTTGCCTGGTTTCTTTTTTCAAGACAAACTGTTCGTCATGGAATATTTGGTTAGCACCAGTTCATTCCTTTCTTCCCATTTCCAGCGCCGTCTGCTCTTCCTGCTGGGCTGTTTCCAATGCTTCTTACTCATGCAGGCCCGGATCTCGGGGTTTGTTGATACTTTGCCTCTAGTGTCTGTTCTGCTCAGGGCAGTTTTACATCTCAGTCCTCTTTCTGATCCCCTGCCACCACCCACACCCTGCTGCTGCCACTTCGACAAAAGCCTGCTGACCACCTGCTTACTACATAGGTCTAGAGAATACAGCAAGGAAGGAGCCTGACCCACCCCTCGGTTCCCCTGACGCAGTGTGGCCATGTTTATCTTCACTAAGCTCAGCCTTTCCATTGACCTAGCACCGAGCCCCACCGACTCATCCTCCCACCTGTCCTGCTGATCTCAGTCCTGACTGTGTGGCCGTGGCAAGTTAAGTAACTTCTCTGAGCCTCAGTTGCTTCATGTGTAAAGTGGGAATTACAGTACTACTTGCCTTGTCAAGTTTTGAAAATTAAGTGGGTAACTGTGCATGAAGGCAGCAAGAACAGTGGTTAGCATCAGTGCGCAGAAGTGTTCATAACGGCTGGCCTTTGTTTGTGACATAAACGTACTTAAACCCGTAACACAGGGTGCTGAAAGCAGTGTGTACGTCTCACTCACTCCTGTAGGCCAGACATTAGTGTTTCACTTCAGAATGCATATTGGGCAGATGCATCTCATGTAGCTATAGTCCAATATATATTTTGAAATTAATCTGTTAATTTAGTATTTATAGAGCATAAATAAGGTTGTGGTGTTGAGCTTCTGCCCATACCTTTTCGGTATCTTTACCACAGACTGGAAAACATTTGTTATACTTTGCTCTCATCTCTCCTTGGGAAGTACCTAGTTGTACATTAGATTAATAGCCAGAAAGTTATCAGCGGTATTTTGTGACTTTTGAACATGTCTTGACATACTGATAAACTGAATAAAAACACATTCTTCTTTACATTTCTGAATCAGTGAATAGACTTTAGTACACAATTTTCTCCTTTCCCCAGAAGGAAATTGGCTGATCCAGATTGAGTCTAATATTTAAATAAATTGAGATCTGTATTAAATTATTTCTGTGTACATAATAAAGGAAATGAAATCAAACTTTGATGGATGTATACATATACGCCCTATGAGGAATTATTTGCCAGATACTTGACTTTTCCAAAAGAATAGTCATTTTGTTCTTGTGATGGCTTCATTTGAGGCTCATCCTCAGCAAGCTTTCATTACTTTTGATGACTGTCAGGTGCCCATTATACATCTAGTGGTGCTCTTAAAATATCGTAGGGATTTAAGAGCCAGAACCCTCTGTGTGCTCGGGACCCATCTCTTCCATGTGCGGTCCTCCCTCTGCCTTCCTCTCGGGCCCAGGCTGGAACACTGTTCCCTCGCTCTGCCCCCTCTGTCCTTCGTGGCCGGAAGTGCACTCCTGCAGTCCAGACTTCACACCCAGCCCACCCACACGACCTACAGAATGTCCCCTGGGTCTGTCACACGCACACACCCAGGACACTGCCAGAGCTCTGGCTCTCTTCATCTCTTACTGGACTGTGGCAGTGGCCTCTGAACCAGTGGGGCCACTAGGGCCTGCTTTCATCTGCCCACAGCCACTGACCTCAGGATCCATGTGGAGGGCAGCTCCTCTGTCATCTGTCCCCAGTGGCTGTTCCCATTCACAGCCGCAGGGGCCCTGTTCCAGCTGAGAGTGGAGCATCACGTTTTGTGTTATCACTGTGGTTTTAGAAAGCCTGTTTATACTGGAGAAACAACTGTTACAGAGTCAGAAACAATTTTAAGTAAGTATGCACTTTTTCATCACGATACCATCCACGTTTATTTGAGAAATAGCGCGGACACGTGGTAGGCACATTCTGTGTGGAGACACTGACCGCATGCATGTGCATATGTGAAGCCACCCAGCCAGCTCCGAGGGGCACCTCTGGGATGCTTGGTTTACATGGACTGGCTGCTTGCTCCGATTCCTGACCTCTGTGGGCTGGAGCTCACATTACAAGGCTGTGCTGCCCCACTACCTGCAGGTGGGGAATCTATAGCTGGTTTTTGCTGCTGCCATCCATATGAGTGCCTTCCCCTCAGCCTGGCAGCACAATCCCACAGGAGCTGTCCACTGTCCCCTGTGCATCACCGCCATTCACCGCAGCTCCTTGTGCTCCCTCGTTCTGTGTCATCCCTGTAGTTCAGTGCCCTCCGTGCATGTCAGTGTAAGCCTCATTCAACTCTGAGCTCCGGCCCTGGCCCATTCCCTGATGTACAGGGACTCAGCCCATTTGTACATTGTCAGGATGTGAATGCGTGAGTGGTTGAGTAGTGAGGATGCGGTCAGACTAAGTCTTCAGACACCTCCTCTGTGCCGGGCACCATCTGAGGTATCAGGAAAGCAGACTTGAGCCAAAGTCCCTGCTTTCATGAAGCTTCATTCTACTGGGAAGAGACAGACGTAACTTTTTAATATTTCAGGGAATGAAGAATACAATAAAAAAAAAGAGTAGAAGCAAAAGATAATGGCAGAGTAGCAGCAGAACTGGGGGCGGGGTCCCAGACTCCATGTCACAAAGCAGAGAAGGGCAGCTTTGAGCTGAGAGGCAGTCATCTAATGACCAGCACAGGTATAAAAGTACACGTCGTGCAGATGCCACTGGAAGCCCACAGGCTGTTCAGGGAGGTCAGGCCCGCAGAGGCCACCATAGCCTGAGGTCAGCAGGGCAGCCAGTGTGACCAGAGTGAAACAGACATGGGAGCTGATGGAGGAAGCGAGGTTACAGTGGGTATGGGGCAGTAAGACAGACTCGCTGGCTAGCAGGACTGGTGGCTAAAATGGCAATAATCTGCAACTGTACATCGTATGGGGTCCCTGTGGTTTAGACTTCCAGCTGTAAAATCCAGAGTGTTGAATTAGGCTAAGTAACATCACCATTACTAATTATGCTACCACACTCACCTAGGTCTTAGGAAGGTGAGCAAGGTAAAGAACTCCTGCATTTTAAAAAAGCGAACATCCTTATTAGCACAGTAATTTTAGGTTTAACTGAACATCAAGGGAAATGTAGTTTGTTTCTAAAAGGCCTTTTATGGTGAGTTTTGAAGAGTATTTGTCAACATCAAAAGATAACAGCCAAAACCAGCTTCTCACATGTATTTCTAGAGCCCCAGATTGTGTCCCTGCATGATTTTCCGGACAGCACCCTGGCAGTGTAGACCTAACTCAGTCCCTGTGCCCTGAAGCCCCTGGAGCTGCCCCTCGGATCCAGCTCAACTTTCTGTCCCCCAGGGCCTCTCTCACGGGTGACTGAAGGCTTCTCTACCTTCGTGTTCCTCCCCCTCCCTTCTCACATGTATTTCTAGAGCCCCAGATTGTGTCCCTGCATGATTTTCCGGACAGCACCCTGGCAGTGTAGACCTAACTCAGTCCCTGTGCCCTGAAGCCCCTGGAGCTGCCCCTCGGATCCAGCTCAACTTTCTGTCCCCCAGGGCCTCTCTCACGGGTGACTGAAGGCTTCTCTACCTTCGTGTTCCTCCCCCTCCCCTTGGCCTTGGCTTCCCTGTTGCCCAGTCAGAAAAGACTTTGCTCCCTCCATACCCCAGGCGGCACTGTCATTGGCTGGTGCCCTCTCATCTTCTTTCTTTTTTAGCCATATCATGTCTGAATATGGAGGGATGACAGACACAGAGCGAGACCAGATTGACCAGGACGCTCAGATATTCATGAGGACCTGTTCAGAAGCAATTCAGCAACTCAGAACAGAAGGTAAAGTACTCTGAAGACACAGGCAGACAGTCATGAATATGTCAAGTAGTTACGCAAGATCCATACAGCACCAGCACTTACAGTTCCCTCTTAGGTTCTGACTGAGAGTTTGGGTCTAAAACTTTAAAATCCAGCCAGGTGTGGTGGCACATGCCTGTAACTCAGCACACTAGGAGGCTGAGGCAGGAGGATCCCAAGTTGGAGCCCAGCTGAGGAAATGCAGCCACTTAGTGAGACCCTGTCTCAGAATAAAAAGTGAAAAGGGCTGGGGAAAGGCCTGGGTTCAACCCCGCCAGCATCAGAAAAATAGAAAAGAGCCCACCCCTGATCTGTTGTGACCTAAGCTGTTCACGGTCATGAGAAGACCATCGTTCGAGGTAAGCCTCTGAGAGGAGCGAGATGGGAGGGACCTGCAGAGCGACCGGAAATGTCCCAGGGCCAGGGTCAGAGAGCACACCACGTGTGTTGCCTGTGTGGTGTCCAGTGGGGCAGCGCTGACGACATGTGGTGAGGGTGGAGGGCGGTCACGTGAGCTGTGCTGCTGGTCTCCTTAACGTAAACGTAGGTGTGATGCCCTTGTGGCTAGGAGGGGACCCATGCCCTGGCTGCTGAGCAGGGTGCCCGGCTTTGCCATCTTCTGCCTGGGTAGCCTCACTTCCTCTCCTGGTCCTCAGTTTGTTCACCTTGAAAAGGCAGTCATCGTAGGGTCTGTCTTCTCGCCGTTGTTGTGAGAACTAAGCTACAGCCTTACAGCGTTCCTAGAACCGTGCCCGGCACCAGGAGGGCTCTCATTATCCTCTTTCCTTGGCTCTGACGTGGCTCCCCAGGTCCCGTCTCTTCCTAGTTGATGCTCTCAGGCAGATAGATCGCATTAACAGCAGGGTTCTGGTTGCCAGGAGCTATGTGATCAGGGCAGACTCTTGTACTGGACACTTCCCTGAGAGCTCTGGTGGGCCCCTCACGAGTATGATGAAAGCTACTGAAAGTCCAGTCGGAGAAACATGCATATACGGAGACTGCAGTCTCATGAGGTCATCTCAGCAGACTTCTGGATGGAGGTTCATGCAAGAAGGGCATCCTTGCTAGAAGTCAGGGACAGCTGCTGGAGACGGAGGGACAGTGTGACTTGAAGTCCAAGGGACCCTGGGAATGTGAGTAGGGGGAGAGGACTGGGCACACAGAGGCTGGGCACTTGGAGGTCAGTGTGTGCACTGGCTGCTGTCACTCTGGGGGGGCTGCAGCAGTTACTGTCCCTGGTGCTGACAAAACATAAATTAGGTGGCTACAGCTTTGCTGTGGGCTTAGTCTCCCACTCTGGTGGAGCCTAGTAAATCTTTCTCTTAAAAATGCACTCTCCCTCGAAACAAGACTTGTTTTATAGCCATGTTTTCAAAATACTCTCAATGAGTCTCCGCCGCTCAGGGGGCGGTGGGCAGTCTCCAGGACCTTTAACACAAAGCCTGAATGCTGTCCTTTTCTGTTCCAGCCCACAAGGAGATACATTCCCAGCAAGTGAAGGAGCACCGGACCGCTGTTCTGGATTTCATTGAAGATTACTTAAAAAGTATTTCATTTTCTCTTAAGTGTCAAACGTGGCCTTTCTGAGTAGATGTGTCTCAGCGTGTAGCTTTGCTAGCTGAAGGCTGTAGTGTCTCACTGAAGGCTTCCTTTGCCCAAGAAGTCATTGACACGGGCTCTGTCTGGCGTTCTCCCCCGCAGGAGTGTGCAAGCTTTACTCAGAGCAGAGAGCCATCCGGGTGAAGCGCGTGGTGGAAAAGAAGCGCCTGTGAGTACCGTGGTTAGCAGCTCGGTGGTCACCACGGCTTCTCCAGGGTGGAGGGCGCTTCCTGTGCCGTGTGCTCGGCTGGCTTCCTCCACGCTGAGCCACAACCGGTGCCTACTGGGTGCCGGGCACCATGCCCTCCTCACTGGGTGGTGGGGATGCGGAGGCCAGCAGCTGTGGTCACTTGCCCGTGGTCCTGCTGTCACAGGGTCTCTGAGCTGAGACCCCGCCCAGGCTGTTGCTTGCAGACTTGGCTTCTCTGCCACTGGTAGCCACTTTACCCTGGTCTCTGCCCATCCCACCACTGCCCTCTGAAGGTTTGGCTGGAAACAAGAGCTCAGCGCCATGGCCAGTGCTCCCCACGAGCTGCTCCTTGGGTCACCGGAGACCCAACAGTGCTCGGGAGGTGCCCCTCAGCAGCACCCGTCTCCTGCAGGCTCCATTCTGAGCGCCCCACACCCAGGTGACAGTGAAACTCCGGGTGACTTGTCCACAGCCTCACCGCCAAAGTGCGGCAGAGCCAGGCGCCTGCCTGGCTGTCTCTCCCGGGCAGCTGGTCTGTGCATCTGGACCTTGAGTGACCAGGTGCGAGCTTCCAGGGACCTCTTCCCACCGGAAGTGCCAAGTGAAGGCTCATGACAGTGTGTGGTTCTGCCCTCTGGGGACACTCATCAGTGTCATACCCAAGAGTTTGGCAGGGGTGGCAGGTTCCTGAGGCCATAGTGAGTTCTGAGGGGAATGGTGTGCTTGGGTGGAATTGCTCATGCTGGGAGCTCAGACTCCGAGGCCAGCAGCCTGTGTCTGAACCCGAACTCTGCACTTAACCAGCTGTGCGCCGAGCAGACTGCTTGTTCTCTCTGTGCTCTGGTTTCCCTATCTGTAGAATGGGAAAGCTAATAGTACCCACACTAAGAGGGCTGTTGTGAGGAGATGAGTTGACACAGGTGAAATGCTTATAGAGAGTTAGTGAATGTTTACTTATGCAAGGCACAGTGCCATACGCCTGCAGTCCCAGCTACTGGGGAGGCTGAGGCAGGAGGATGCAAGTTTGAGGCTAGCCTGGGCAATTTAGTGAAAGCCTGTCTCAAAAAGGAAAAAAAAAAAGGGCTGGGCTGTAGCTCAGTGGTAGAGCGCTTGCCTAGTATGTGCAAGGGCACGGACTCAATCCTCCGTACTGCCAAAAAAAGTACTTTTCTTGTAGTATTGTCTACCATTAAGCACTTTCTGTGTGTCAAGCAGTATGATGATTTATTTCATTTAATCCTTACAGCCACCCTGTTAATACATATTCATATCCCACCTTATAAAGGGGCGGGAGCTCGGCAAATTGAGTTAGCCAGACTCACAGCAAGCTGGGTCTGAAGCTGAGAGTCATGGAACCGAGGTCTCGAGCCATGGGTTTGTGCTGGCTGTTGAAAGAGAGCTATCTGGGCAGTGGCTTGGAGGCGAGGAGGTGTGTGGGGAGGCCGGGCACAGGGCAGCCTGGAGCGGATGAGGGAGAGGCAGTCCCTGGGCTTCAGGGCAGCAGAGCCAGACGCCTGCCACATGCTCCTAGAGGAGACCAAACAGGTGCCCCAGCAAAGTGAGGAGAGGCTTTTGCTGCTGCCTCCTGTCCCTGGCCTGGCAGAGGTCTGGACTGAAATACGGATTAGAATCAGTCAGATGGAAGTTGTTCTCATTTAGACAGTGGTATGCAGCAATCTCCTGCTTGACAGCTGCCCCCGGCCCCCGTTACCCCGAGCACAGGACCCTGCGGGAAGTAACTGAGTCCCCTGGAGCCAGCCATCTCCTAGTTCTTTCCTGGCTTCGGGCAGAGGTATCCGCCTAACACTACATGTGTCACACCCCTGCTTCCTGCATCTTACAGGGCTAAACCCTGCCGGCCTTCGAGGCCATGGCCTGGGGCCTTTGTCTCTTGGTCTCCACTGTGTTCACTGTACCAGGCCCTCCCCTGACTGTTCTGTGTGGCCTCACCCTTTGTGGCTCTTGAGCTCTCACGCACACTTAGTTCTCTGCTTCCTACACCCTCATCCTGCTCACCTGGCGAACAGATCCCTGGGCATCCCTCCGCCCCAGCCGAGACTGCTTCTTCTCTGGGAGTCTCCCCAGCCTGCAGGCATATACGACTGTTGTCTTAGTGCTTCCCCGCCCGACATTCAGAATTGGGCGCAGCAGGTTCTCATGGCTGCCAGAGCCCATCACGCAGCACAGCATGGGTCCTCAGGAGAGCAGGCGGCACACTGTGCATTGCTAAGTTAGACTGCTGGGTTCCTTATTTGTAAATTATTTTGTTTGGATTGCCAGTGGTTTTTGTTAAAAAGTCATTCTTGGCCTGGTGTGGTGGCGCACGCCTTGTAATCCCAATGTTGGGAAGTGAAGCCAGGAGGATTGCAAGAGTTCGAGGCCAGCCTGGGCTCCCTAGTGAGTTCGAGGCCAGCCTGAACGTCATAATGGGACCCTGTCTCAAAAATTAAATAAGTAAATAAAAATAAAAAGTCATTCCTACGAAACTGATTTGAGAAATCCAGCTGCTCATGTCTTTGATGTTACTATCATATTTGTTTTGGTTTTGGTGAAAGAAAAAGTACCTGTTAGTTGAGGGGCAGCTTAACTGTTTAATTTTTTTTATTTGTTTTTATTAGTCCATGTTTGCAGTATATAATTACATACGTCATGGAGAGTTGCTTCGTGTACGTGACACATCTATATTCCTTTTACTTCCCCCTCCTCTCCCCTCCCTCCCTTTTGACAGTATAGGAAGAAAATATTTCACAGCAGGATTTATTTTGGTAGAACAGTGACATCGTATCATAATCTATCATATAAAAGAGCCCTTATTCCCAACTGGGTGAAGATATTTTGCTCATTGAGCCAGAGATAGTCTCGGCTGACCTTTCTGTGTTTTTCCTACCAGGCTATGTCTTCCTAAAATGACAGTGCTGTTATTAGAAGTCACTGTTTCCCCCTCCTCTGGGCTTTTTCCTTTCTGACTTGACAGCGACATCTGTGGCAAGTTGCCGAAAGCTGGATGGAGAGACGCCGATAGCTATTCATCTCTTTGCTCTTCCTCCTGCAGTGAGACCGGGAGTCCTTTGAAGGCAGGGATTGCTGTGTGTTTAATCTCTGCGGCTCCAGGGCCTTTATCTGAACCTGCCACACAAGAGGTGTTCGATTACTTCTCCTGGCTTATGAGATCTACATAGTGAACACTTACACATTGGCACAAGTACCTGTCACCCCCAAGAGGTTGAAATTTATCCTCTTATCCTACCACCTAAAAGGAGTAGGATTTTAGTTTTGACTTACCTTGAAATAGCCATCACCTGCCCTCTTGGCTGAATTAATCAGAAACATGGTGATTTCTTACCAAAATTTTACTGCACTTCATTTTCTTTCTTTTTGAAAATACTAGCCCTCCGGACACAGCACTGCCATGCTTTCTAGGCCCTTATATAGTAACACATATATACTGTCACATGTGCTCGCCTGCACTGAGGCCGGAGCGCCTAGTTCCCGCACACAGGAAGAGCTCAGTGGGGTCACCAATAACTGGGGTGATGGTGGTAGTAATGTGGCAGGGGGCCTTATACGTTGCCTGGAAAAGGAATCTGCAGACAGTGGTCTGTGGGCCAAAGCCAGACCTTGGCCTATTTCTATACAGTCCTCAGCTGAACGTAGCTTTTATATTTTTAAATGTTTGTAAAATAAGAAAGAAGGACCTGAGGCGGAGACTGTATGACCTATACCATGTGAGATACCCCCGGCCCTTACAGGAAAAGCAGGCGCGCCCTGCTTCAGACCGACGCCCTGGGTGAAGGGCTTCACTGTTTTGCAGTATCTTGCAGCCCGTCGCGGCTGACGTGCCTTCTGCTGCACACGACCCATCCACAGACTGCCTCGGGGAGCGGGAAGCACTGAGAAGGCCAAGGCAGAGGGCTCTCCGTGCTCACTCCGCGCCGAGCCCGTGAGGACACCATGCCAGAAAGCTGCTTTGGAGCCGGTGCCGGGCGGTGCTGTCAGGTTCCTTTCCGCCCAGAGCCTTAGTGGGGGAAGTAGAAGAGCAGTACTGAAACCTGGCAGGGCAGCCGCCTTCGCCAGCGCATGCACGGTGCTTATTTGAGGTTTGCAGAGTTCGTCTCCCACGTGTTTTCTTGTTTTCAAACTGAAAAAACTCTTCCCCTCTTTTTTGTCTCTTTCTGTTCTTTTTAAATTTTAAGTAGAATTCCGAGGTTTTCCGAGAAAGGGGCCTGGAAACAGGTGTCGGCCAGGTGGGAAGTCTGCTGATGGAGCCCTGAGTGCTCAGCTGCAGTCAGAGAAATCAATGTAGAGAAATCATGGGGCATAAACTGATCTTTCTGATGACTTCAGACATTACTGCTTCTTCAAACTGCCTTCAATTGGTTAATTTGTAATTTCCCTAAGGGTTTTAGTAGGCAGCCTGTGTATAATCAGAATCTGTTTTTATCACTTAAAGGAAAAAAGGGAGCACTTCACTTTGCCTCAGTCTGCTGCAGTGCAGTCCTTTGTTCTTAAATTGAAAACGGGTACATTGGCCACAAAAGATGACAGACTTTAAAGGAGCCGTTTATTTAAAAGTCAATTAAGCTCATCTCCCTCCTGAACAGTGCAGAGCTGAAACACGAGCTAGGGCGGGGGAAGGGGTGTCTGCAGTGGACGGGAGGCTGGGCTCTGGGTGCAGCTGTCAGAGCCAGCAGCGAGGGTAGGGCCGGTCGGCCTGGTGCATCCGCACAGGAGTAGGTTAGGGCCGAGGGCGCTTATGTAGAGGGGTGGATGGAACAGGAAACTCAGAAGGCTGTGAGGAAGCGGGTTTCTCGCTGTACAAGTGAAGGGGGAAGGTCAGAATGAAGTCTGTGATCTTGGATTGGAACGGAAGATACTGATGTAGATTCAGCCAGTTCCGGAGGTCGGTAAATAGGGCTATGAGCGTGCCTGGGTGTGCGTGCACGAAAAGTCACACCCGCATCTTCTAGCTCTGTTCCCGG